AACGCCTTCTCCAAGTCCACAAAACACATGTAAACAGGTTGGGCGAACTCCCATGCACCCTCCAGGACCCTGCTGAGGGTGTAGAGCTGGTCCAGTGGAAGGCCCCTCCAGTGCAAATTCATTGACAAAGTGGTTGAGTTCAGAATTCGAGACGGCAGCTACTCATTTTTTTCACATGTAGTCCGTCATTAATACGTTAGTTACCGTATTTATTCAAGTATAATACGTAAAACTAAATCCATAAAATCATCCATAAAGTTGGGGGGCAGTACTATACTCGGAAAAATATTTTTACTTATGTATTTTAACTGAAATATCGGCTTCATTCACAAAATGCCTGAGTCTGGAAATGAGAACGCATCGTAAAAAGCAGTTGAAACTAGCTTACCTCTAACACTCCTCCGTGCTTCATTGTGAGATAATAACAGATCCAGGCAGGCGACATGATGTGAAAAAAAGGAGGAAAAAGTATTCCTGCACCTTAGTAATGATAATGAACTAATGACATTAGCGTGTGACCGGGCCGCTCCTCGTACAACAACAAACACATGTTTGTCTGTAATGGCTGCCGTCTACCGGTGTTCTGAAAAAGTTTGTATCCCTGAAAAAATGTTTCCCCACCAGAGGGGGCGCTCTCGAGTAGGAAGTAATCTGCTTTTCCCCCACAAGATGGCCCAAATCTTATGTGAAGTCTCTGACTTTTGTGTTAGCGCATCCTAGTGGACTATGTGTAAAATGCCAGAATTCATATGATGCTGCTACAGCTGATATATATTTGTTGTCTAAATACCTTTTAGTACATATGTTGTTAAAATAAAATGAACAGTCCAATGATCATTTTACTGATTTGTATAAAGACTGCAAAGGCTGAAAAATCTTGAAGTCTGTATGAAATTGGAGGTAGTTTGAGGATTCAATTTTTTATGCTTTTTAAGCTCAAAAAGGGGAGTCGTATTATACATGAGATCGTATTATACATGAATAAATACGGTAGTTTGTGGAACGGTCTTGATAGTGAGATAAAACAGTCAAAATATTTTTTTGTATTTTAAAAAAACTTGAAAATTATTATGATGAAGTGTTATAATATTGTCTAAAGTAATGTTTTGTTGTAATTTTAAGTGTTGAGTTATTTTATCCGTATGCTGACAGTGAACTTCTTTGAGTTGGTGGTTGATTTTATTTTGTGAGTAGTTCTTTCTGCTGCTTTTCATTCATGACTTTTTTTGATTTAGTTTTGTTTTCCTTGACATTTTGATTTTGTATGCATCAGCTGTAGCAACGAGACCAGGAACGTGAAGTGTCATAATAAATGCGTAACGTTGAAGTTTATTGGCCCTTTGAGGGCAACCATGATGCTCATGTAGCCCTCRAAGAAAATGAGTTTGACCCCCCTGTTTTAGTCTATTGAATTGTATCGAGATATGTATTTTATCAACCAGAGATGAACAACTTCACTACTGCAAATCACCCTCCTGGTTCGATTCTCTAATGTGCAATAAAACCTTCACACATATTGCACAAATATAGCGGTAGAATATATGACCCCATATACCTCGCATACATAAAGCACCCATGCATCAAAACTCACATATGGGCTGTGGCTCTTTAAGATGTTCTGGTATTTCTATGAAAAGTGATTTTGGAATGGTCATTACGAATAAAATATTTTGTTGATGGAAAAACAAAAAAAAACATATCTGTTCTCGGTCTATTTGAGTAACGTGATGAAACAAACCACATTTAAATGCACAATGTCATATATGTACTACTCTCCAGGAAACTGTACTGTAGATGCTTTACAAATTAAGAAATGATCCACAGAGACCGTTTTGAGTAGAAGCTGTTTTGGGTGGAGTAAATGAACATGGATATGGGGCTGTTGGTCAAATAGTAGGTCAAATAGGAAAACATCTGTGCCCAATTTTATCAAGATTGTATCATGCTTATGGATGTAGAGGCTTGAAATAACAATTTTTAGTCATATGTTTKGATTCTGTTGCCTACTGCTAGGTAGCAGTTRCATAGAAACACAATATCATGAAATAATAGCTTAAATCTAGCTAGAAATCTGAGCTAAACAAAAAAAATCTGAAGTTCCTATGTTGAAAAGTTTTTAAGCTATAAGCACTTTTGTATGTCCAGACACCAGTTTTTCAAATAGAGCCCCCACTTGAAATACGGGATCTATCGCAAAACCGTTTGTTCCCACAGTTTAGGCCGGCTGCATCTATATTCCTTCGAATTTCATGCCGCTAGTTGCAGCCGTTTCTGTACTCCGGTTGACCAAAAATCAAAATAAAATTTAAAAACCCTACAAAAACAATGGATTAGCTCAAACTGTCATTT